TCCCTCCCTCCCTCCCTCCCTCCACCTTGAATGGTGGAGCCCTCAGTCAGGCACTTGGGCCAACTTGGTCAGGAGCCTCTGGCTCTCCTGGCAAATGCACTTTGTCTCTAAGGATATCTAAGACTCTCTTCACTCTTTTTCAGAAAATATATATATATTCATCTTTTTTGTGTGTGTCTCAAAATATAAATAAAATGTTCTTGGAATGTAGCTCAGCAGTATAGGGTTCAATCCCCAGTCTCCCCTAACCCCCGTGCCAAATACTCCTGCAATTTCAATTTTAATTATACTACTTAGTATCTTGTGACCTGCTTCCATTGCTTCTGAGCCTCGATTTTCCTCCTTTACACTGCATGACAGTGACACCAAACATGTGATATGCCCCACTGAATGCTAGTTCAGTAGATACTTGGAAAAGAAAGCACTATGACTGTGCTAGGGAGGGACTTCCCAGTTTGAAGTGGTTTCATATGGTTCATAGAACCCTGTATACCCGGAGACCAGACCTTCACTGATTTCTCACACAGTGTGAATCTCTCAGCCAGCGCTTTCAGGACCTTCTTCTCCGGGTACCTGGTCTGGCTAAACAGAGCCTTCAGCGCCTTCTGCTGCTTGTGGGTGAATGAGGTGCGTTTACGGGGCTTCATCCGAGTGGCTGTGGGGAAGAAAAGTGGGAGGTCACACTCATGCTGCCTGTCTCCTCTCTCAATAAAACAAAGAACAAAACAACAGTCCTACTTTGAGCCACAGCTCTGAGTCTTTCTTGCTTCCCTGTCAACCACTCATATCCAGAAGCTACAGACTTTGACCTTGAATGGTAGAGCCCTGGGTCAGGCACTTGGGCTAACTTGGTCAGGAGCCTCTGGCTCCCCCGGCAAATGCCTTTGTGTTGAGGATTTCTAAGACTCTCTTCACTCTTTTTCAGAAAATGGTCACACTTGGGAAAACTGCTATGTGAAAGAAAACATAACTGAATAATTTAGATGAAGACTGAAAAACATACATTTGTTTTTTAAATGGGAATGAGGAAGACAATACATTTTTCTAAAGAAATCCTATTACCAAAATTAGCTGAAAAGGAACTACAGACCATGAAAAAAAATCACACAAGCAGGTAAATTACAGATTGCAAGGCAATGTTGTGCTAATTTTCCTGTTACATAATCTATTTTAATGAAAGGAAAGCTCTTCACTTACACCTCACAAGCACAGCCAGGAAGAACAAATACTATGAGAAAAATTATAGACCTTGCCACTGAAGAATATACATGGGAAGAATTTACATAAAATATATATTGACTTATATTTTAAATGTACATATTCCTAAATTTATATAATGTTTCAGGCCCATTTATATGTATTTATTTTGTTTTTTGGCAGAACTGGGGATTGAACTCAGGCCCTTGCGCTGGCCAGGGAAGAGCTTATTCCACTGAGCCATCTCCCCGGCCCCCATTTATATGTATTTAAAGTCAAATACATGAGCTAGGAGATAGCTCAGTGGTCCAAGCACCTGCCTGGCAAGCACAGGGACCTGGGTTCCATCCCAGTACCACAGGCCACACCAGCTCCGGAACTCTGGGTGCACTGTGCCAGCCACTGAAACTGGACATGGAGTATAGGCCTGCAATCTCAGAGCTGGGAAGCTGAGACAGAAAGACTGCTATGAGTCTGAGCTGTGTAGCGAGAGCTTATACTAAATGAATAAGTGAATAAGTAAAAGATTTTTTAAAAAGAATTTTTAGAAAGTCAAATACATAGAATAAAAATTCAGAAATAATTGATTTTTTTTCTTTTTACATCTAATGTAATTATCTCACTAGAACTCTGTTCGCTTCGCTTCAGTAGTTATCGTCACCAACATTCTGATCTTATTTAAATACATGCTATAACTTTACCGTACATATAATCTTTAATCTTTACTCACAGGATATCATATCTACATCTTGTACAACGAATGACCACTAGGAAGGCAGTGTGCAATGTGTTCATTATTGGAACTGTCCTACAATTTGATTTGAAACTGTCTCATTGCTATTCATTTCTCAATAAAATTATGGAAAAAAAAATCTTTACTTCAAAATACTTAGAGCCTGGCATTGTGGCACCCACCTGTAATCCCAGCACTTGGGAGGCTGAGGCAAGTTCAAGGCTAGCCTGAACTACATAGTGAGATCCTGCCTCAAAATAAATAAATAAATAGTACAGTACCTTTGGAATGTGGTTTTGCTATCTTTGAGCATTTTGTTCTAAGCCTTGAAGACTTCACCTGCAGTAGTAAGATAGCTGCTCTCCCCTCCCCCGCTGCCCACGCACGTATTCATCCTTTAAGACTATAATTGTGGTTTTCACAACCTAACTATTCATATTGTTTTAAAATATGAAATTGATTTATTCCTTTTTTGAGATGGCCAATAGTACACAATTGAAATGATTCCATTCTCCAGCCTCCTGGCTGCCCCCTGGAGCGCTGCCAGTAGCCACTCCTCCAAATGACCCTTCAGAACATGAAATGTAGTCTGTTTTGTCCAGGTACTGGCTTTCTAATTTTAGTAAACAGTCAATGTAACATTTAAAAGTGGTAATCCAATCACTGGCAAACTTTTTAGTATGCTTAGAACAGCTTGCATATGTGAATATAATTTTTGAACTATAAATGTTGTAAAAAGACATCAAGGTGTTTTTTTTTTGTTTTTTGTTTTTTTTTTTGACAGGGTCTTGCTGTGCAGTCCAGACTAACCCTGTGCTCACTTTTGTAGCCCCTGTACTGCTCTCGAATGCACAACAATCCTCTGGTCTCAACCTCCAGAATGCTGGGATTATAGGCGTGTACCACCACATCCAGTTGTTTGTTTTTAAACAGGAAGTATTTATGGGGCTGAGGATATAGCTCAGTGACATAGTACCTGCTCAGCAAAGTCCCAAGTTCAATCCCCAGTATCTCACACACACACAAAAAGCATTTCTGGTAAAAATTTAGCACCTAGGTTGAGATATGATAGACTGAAATAAGCATAAAATTACCAGTGGATTTGCAATCTTAATATGAATAGAAGAATGTAATCTATTTTAAGGGACTATTTAGAAAAAAATCTAGCTGAGTGTGGTGGTGCACACCTATAATCTAGCACTCAGAAGGCTGAAGCAGGATTGCCTGAGTTTGGGGTCAAGTTCAGCCTGGGGCACTGTGTAGTGCCTGAACTACACAGCAAGACCCTGCCTCAAAAAACAAAATTCTTATAGTCTATTAATATGAAATGCAATACTAAATATACATTGTCTAATTTAATTATGTAACAAAAATAAAAGATTAAAGCTTTAGATTTAGGATCTACTTGTGCATATCTAAACACTAAATATAGGGTAAATAAATAAGTTTTTTTTTTTTCCTGGCTACCTGAGGATCTGCCTATCAAGAATAAAACAGCAACTACTCAGACCAACAGGTTCATGACTGACCCACTACTTCAAAGAAAACAGTCACTGAGGTCCTTCACCCTGGGAAAGAAAGTACCTGAGACAGAAATGCTGGAATCTCGTTTGTGGTGAGACTTTTGACTTTCACCAGATGATTTGGCGCATGCCTGTAATTCCAGGACTCTGGAGGTTGAGGAGGGAGGATTGGCCTGAGTTTGAGCCTGGTCTGAGCTCCATAGTGAGCTGCTGGCCTGTGTCTGTAATTCCAGGACTCTGGAGGTTGAGGCAGGAGGATTGGCCTGAGTTTGAGCCTGGTCTGAGCTCCATAGTGAGCTGCTGGCCTGTGTCTGTAATTTCAGGACTCTGGAGGTTGAGGTGAGAGGATTGGCCTGAGTTTGAGGCTGGTCTGGGCTCCATAGTGAGTTGCTGATCCATGTCTGTAATTCCCACACTCCAGAGGCTGAGACAGGAGGAACAGACGAACCTAGGCTCCATGAGTTGTTGGTCCATGTCTGTAATCCCTGCACTCCAGAGGTTGAGGCAGGAGGATCAGCAAGAGTTTGAGACCAGCCTGGGCTCTCTGGTGAGTTGCTGATCCATGTCCTTAATGTCCGCCCTCTGAAGGCTGAGGCAGGAGGATCAGCATGAGTTTGAGACCAGTCTGGGTGCCATAGTAAGTTGCTGGCACATGCCTGTAACTCCTGTACTCTGGAGGCTGTGGCAGGTGGATCAGTCTGAGTTTGAGGCTGGCCTGGCCTCCCTGGTAAGTTCAGGTCAGCCTGAGCTACACAGTGAGAACCTGTCACAAAAAAAAGAAATTAAAACAGTTGACTTTAGCGTGATTTATGATTCCTTGGGTTAGGCAAAGAAATGTGAACCCAAATGTAGACCTGGAAGACATGGTATGTGTGACCAAACAAACAAAAAGCCCAGAAGAAAACATTAAATGGAATGCAAGAGAAGAATGAGGCAAGTCTGGAGGATTGTAAAGCTGGAGGAGTAAAGTCATGCAATCACTACCTGCAGTGGTTACTTGGTTTTGTCAGGAGGGACTCAATAATAAACAGTTTATAGTTAATAAATAGTTTTACAGTTGATAAACTGTAAAAACTTCCCCCAAAGTAAATTAAATTTAAAAATCTATAAGATAAGGAGGAAAGGAGACAACCAGGGCCCTCTGGATCCTGAATAGACCCAGAGCGTAGGCCCGACTGAGGCCACGGGATCCTGAACAGACCCAGAGAACAGGCCCAGCCAGTGAGTGAGACCACCGAGGGCCCACTGTTCTTCATTCGACCCAGAGTGCAGGCCCAGAGAGGAACCCTTCAGCAGAACTCCCTGCAAAGAGGCTAGAGGCAAGACCCACCCAGCTGATTCAGGAGCAGAACATCTTGCCAAAGAGACACAA